ATATACAGGGTGTCTCGTAACTCCTCGAACACCCGCAATTGGGGGGTTGCTGTGGTGACTCTGAACAACTTTTTCCTTGACCAAAATGTTGTTTGAAGCTTCGTTTTTGAATTATTAACACATTAAGCGCCATGTCAGTCACCGGCGACTGACACTATGCTTTCCGTTCAGGCCGCGTCAGTCACCGGTGACTGACAGTATACTTTTCGTTAGTCGTCTTCTGTTTGTAGTTCGCATGGCCCACTTGACGGCCAAGTGTGATCTGAACGGAACGGTAAGCAAAACAGGCTGGGCGTTTAACGTGTTAACGAAAAACACTGGCCGATCAGAGCGCGCGTAGAGACCCCGCTCAGGGACGAACGAACACAGATTCACGAACAGAGATTCACGCGTACGCTTGTTCACGATAGCGCGCGGGTGAATTTCTGTTCTCTCGTCCCTGAGCGCAGGCTCTACGCGCGCTCCGATTGGCCAGTGTTTTTCGTTAATAATTCAAAAACGAAGCGTCAACCAACATTTTGGTAAAGAAAAAAGTTGTTCAGAGTCATCCCAACAACCCCCCATTTCCGGGTGTTCGAGGAGTTACGGGACACCCTGTATGTACGAAAGTATACAGTGGTTGATGAAATTATTAGAGCCGCAATACGAAATATTCTTTTGTTTGTTTTAGCGTAGAAATAAAATGACAGTATCAAGGTTTTCACGCTAGATAATTGTTAATTAATGATCGTTCACTAAAGATAGACAAAACTTAGCTTATGTTTCGTAATTTAAGAAAAAATTCAAACTAACGTATCTCTGTTTCTAACTGAGATGGCGGCCTCTACGCGCGCTCCGATTGGCCAGTGTTTTTCGTTAATAATTCAAAAACGAAGCGTCAACCAACATTTTGGTAAAGAAAAAAGTTGTTCAGAGTCATCCCAACAACCCCCCATTTCCGGGTGTTCGAGGAGTTACGGGACACCCTGTATGTACGAAAATATACAGTGGTTGATGAAATTATTAGAGCCGCAATACGAAACATTCTTTTGTTTGTTTTAGCGTAGAAATAAAATGGCAGTATCAAGGTTTTCACGCTAGATAATTGTTAATTAATGATCGTTCACTAAAGATAGACAAAACTTAGCTTATGTATTAGGTTGTCCGGAAAGTTCGTTTCGTAATTTAAGAAAAAATTCAAACTGACGTATCTCTGTTTCTAACTGAGATGGCGGAAAAAACCGAAAGGTACTTTACTCGTTACTTGAATATAAATCCGACGTACCCCTAAAATTACTCCTAAAGCGGACTATATTTTCTGCTGTGGAGCGTTGCCAAGAAAAATTCAACATCCTCGCTCCAATGCAGAGAACATCCCTGTTCGTCTTACAAAGAATTTGAGCACTGCGTTGGATTCACCTTTAACTGTCGAGGAAAGTACCGTTTAACTTTTGTTACTATGTCGGTTAGAAACAGAGGTACGATGGTTTAAATTGCGAAAGGAACTTTCCGGACAACCTAATGGTTAGAAGAAATACAGTTAAGAAGTAAGAATAAAGTCAGTATTTCAAGGTAGCGCTTGATTCTTTCTTCGATACGTTTCAAGCAATTTACTGTGCGTTATAAGCAGTAAAAACACTGCAAGAAAAATTCAAATGCTCGAGTAACACGCGGTTCTCAAGTGGCGGACAGATAACATTGCGTAAAGTGTCGCCAAGTGCATATTTGCAATTTGTAAACGTAGACGCTTTTCATCTGGAAAATGAATCGTTACAAGGTAAAACCGTCAATTTCTTGCAGGTAGCTCTAATAATTTCATCGCCCACTGTATATACGCCTTCACAACTCTATCGATACGAAAGACTTTTACGAAAGATTATTTTTTTAATTTTTTTTTTTACGACAGCCAGTCACAGAGACTCGCACACGAATATCGCGCTGTCTATATTGACGGTTCTGTGCGAGAGATTTTGGTAGATTTCGGTTGATCGAAGGTATCGATAAAATAGACTCGCGTGAGTAAGAAAAATTCGTGGTAGCGGTGTGTAACAGGAATGAGTCATCGAGCGTTGCTAATTTCGTTGACACGAACAGCTTTCGTGGTTACGAGGGGGCCAGATTGTCCATGAGGTGTATTTCGGTTCGGTGGAACCAGTATCACGAGTCGATAGCACGATTTTAAGAGTCTGCTGCTGATGTAAATAGATTGTCCATCGTCGTCGACTATCCAGCAGCAGACACGTGCTACACTTGTCCCCATTCGTTAATACGTGAATCCGTTTCTACGCTGAAATTCGGTTGTTTCGTCCTGGTTGAAGCTTGGTGGCTTTCTTGGGTGTCGCGAAGGAGCCAGTTATGAGATTGTTATATCGGTGGTCCAGTACTCGTTGAACTGTTTAACTCTCTGGTTTACGTGATCGAGGAGAGAGTGGTTAAGGGAAGAATGATTTAGGACGCCGCTGACGTCGAGGCTGGAGTGGCCACTCGAGCGCTGAGGAAACGGAAGACCTCGCAGAACGACCAGAGCCATGGAAGCTTCTTCCTCAGAATCGGAGCTATCGGTGAGGAAGCTGAATTTCTAATTGGAAGTTTCGTAAAAATGAATTCTACATTGTGATTGTTCGTAGCTTTTGGATTGGGTACCATGGTCTACAATGGTTTAGAATTTGGTACCTTCTTCGAGGTACCACCTACGTCGCCGTGTTATCAGATCTTGCAAGGAGTGAATCCTGTTCTCCAAATGATCTTCACGTTCATGCAGATGTACTTTATCTTCATGAACTCAAGGGTAAGCAATGGTTATTCGTGTGAACGTCTTTAAAACGGGACACTGAGTATGTATCTCTTTAGCTGAACATTCACCGCTTCAAAGTGATCGCTCGTTTCGGTCTGATGCACGTGGTAGCCACCAATCTCTGCGTGTGGATCCGTACTCTGGTGCTGGAGAGCATCAAGGAGATCACGAAGCACCATCAGAAGATGGGTCAATTCGAAGCAGGCATCCTTGGTAAATCCAATTCTCACGAAGATGCTATATAACTCTCTGGCTAATGTGACACTAATAGAGCTGATCTCGTTGATATTTAGAGAACTGTATAACTTTCTCGCTAATATTGGCAATCTCGTGAATATTTAGAGAGCTATATAATTGTCTCGCTAATATGACTCTAATAGAGTTAATCTTGTTGAGATGTGCAACTTTCTCACTAATATGATAGTAATATTGTCAATCTCGTGAATATTTAGAGAGCTATATATCTCTATCGCTAATATCACACTAATAGAGTTGCTCTCATTGATATTTAGAGAACTATATAACTCTCTCGCTAATATGGCACTTATAGAGTTAATCTCACTAATATTTAGAGAGCTATATAATTCCCTCGCTAATATGACACTAATTTTCTTAATCTCATATATCACACTAATAGAGTTGCTCTCATTGATATTTAGAGAACTATATAACTCTCTCGCTAATATATCACTAATATTGTTAAGCTCGTTAATATTTAGGGAGATATACAACTTTCTCACTAATATTTAGAGAGCTATATAATTCCCTCGCTAATATGACACTAATTTTTTTAATCTCATTAATATTTAGAGAACTACATAGCTCTCTCGCTAATATTTAGAGAGCTATATAACTCTCTCGCTAATATGACACTAAGATTGTTGATCTCGTTAATATTTAGAGAACTATATAACTCCCTCGCTAATATGACACTAATAGAGTTAATCTCGTTAATATTTAGAGAACTATAGGTATAACTCTCTCGCTAATATGGCACTTATAGAGTTAATCTCACTAATATTTCGAGAGCTATATAATTCCCTCGCTAATATGACACTTATAGAGTTAATCTCGTTAATATTTAGAGAGCTATATAGCTCTCGCTAATACGACACTAATAGAGTTAATCTTATTAATATTTAGAGAACTATATAGCTCTCTCGCTAATATGACACTTATAGAGTTAGTCTCGTTAATATTTAGAGAGCTATATAGCTCTCGCTAATACGACACTAATATCGTTAATCTCGTGAATATTTAGAGAGTATCAAGCAACACTCGATGAGAAACGCAGGAGCAATATTGGGAACAGCGCCTCGAGACATGGCTCTCTTAAGAGAGGCGCCATTAACAGCCACGAGGGCTTCAACGGTGACTTCGTCGGTTGCTAGTACAACCGCTGCTTCCTTGGGTCGAGTGATGAGAACAACTGCAAGGGCGGTGGCCAGGGCAGTCACGACACCCCCGACAACCACCACAGCTGGCTGGAACCCTCCAACTTCGACCACAACATCCACATCAGCACCACTGCCTAATTTGACTACCACCACCGTCAATACGTTGTCCACACTTCTCACTACACTTACGCCGCAAACTTCTACCGAAGAGAGAACCAGCCCAACTACTACAAGTACTACTACTACCACTACCACTACCACGCCTTCGACTACATTCCCGCCGTTCTTTGTCGAATTGTTCGATGCTCCTCAGCCGAACAGCAAAGAAGAGGTAAGAACGTATTGCTAATTTCGAATTATTCAGGGATCTCTCAGTTTTTTTGGCTCTTACAGGTAGGAAGGTAGAGGTGTTTGCGTAGAGATGGACAAAAATGGATAACGAGCGGCGATTTAATACTCGGGGACAAAGAACCTCGCTGCAGAAATTATTTAGGGTTCTTGCAAACATTATTTAAGGTTCTCTGTCACCTGGTATTGGATCACTTTTCACTTTTTCCTGTCTTTTATTCGTCCACCGCAAAAATTATTCAGGGCCCTTGCAGAAATCATTCAAAATCCTTGCAACGAGGTTCTTCATCGCCAGATATAGGATCACTATTCACTTTTGTTCATCTCTTCCCCGTCCACTGCAAAATTTATTCAGAGTTACTGCAAAAATTATTCAGGGCTCTTGCAAATATCATTCAGGACCCTTGTTCTTGGAGCGAGGTCCTTTATCACAAGATATAGCATCACTATTCACTTCTGTCCATCTCTTCCCCGTCCACTGCAAAATTTATTCAGAGTTGTTGCAAAAATCATTCAAGGTTTTTTATCACCAGATATTGGGTCACCTTTCATTTTTTCCCATCTCTTCTCCGTCCACTGCAAAATTTATTCAGAGTTGTTGCAAAAATCATTCAAGGTTTTTTATCACCAGATATTGGGTCACCTTTCATTTTTTCCCATCTCTTCTCCGTCCACTGCAAAAATTACTCAGAGCCCTTGCAAAAACACATTCAAGGTCCTTTATCACCTGGTATTGGATCACTCTTCACTTTTCTTTCACTGCAGACACCTCTACCTCACCAGCAGTAAAAGAGGAGAAAGAATGGCAGAGCCACGAAACTTCGTACTGTTATGCCGCGGCAAAGAGAGGAGTCTCGAAGAACGTTTCTTAGTGTGTAAAAGTAGTTTTATTAATACAATACAGGAATCATGCAAATCATCGAGCTTCGAACGGCCAAAGGATCCTCCTGATGCGTCAGGATAGTGACTGCGGTGTCACTATCCTAACAGTACATCGGCACATAAACTCTCTCGTCAATCTTCCACACGTATATCGCGAATTTCTCAATCCACCCTCGCAGTTATTCCCTTCCAAAGCTTCCAGATGCCAGCCGTGTCAATTACGAATTATATCCCAAAGTTTCCCCATCACCGTGTCATCTGACCCCTTGAAAAACCCAGCTGCAATCCTGAAGAAACGTCGAGATAGAATCCCTAGACAACCTCGAAAAAGAACAACTGTAATCGTGTCACTTTTTCCACACTTAGCACTTAGAGCGTAGTGATAATAAGGATAATAGTTGGTAGAAAAGAGGAAAGGTCTCTTCGCTACACGACCGTAATCGTCAGTTCGTGAGGTGCCGCGAGTTGGCACGGCGAGGCGTTGGTCGCGAGTTCGCGGGGTGTTAGAGTCCGGTAGGGGTATGGAGAAAACTTATCCGGTTATTTAACGATGAAGAAAATACACGGGCCGAGACGCGTGCCTCCTTCATGCCACGCGACGCGCCAAAAAGCAATTGACGAGCGAGACATCGTCGATCAATAGATGGTACGCTTCTCTTGGAAGCGGGCTAGAGTGGGTAGGATAGCCAGTACCAGACTCTAGACACAACATTTTATACATATTCGAGCTCCTCGGCCGCCCAATCAGCACCCTCGGTACACCGAGCACCGAGTTTTATGACTCGGTGTACCTGGGTTTGCACTACGCGCCCGCTGACCATCGCCCTGCCGCGATACACAACTAAATATACCTACAGAGACATTTCACAAAAAAAAAAACAACACTTTCTACCTAACCAGATACACCAAATCTTCGACGTGAACAACCAAACGAACAGCACCGAGTTCTTGATCCCAAATTTCGGGATTTTCGCCGAAGCTCTGACAGACGAAGAGATCGCGTCGAATTCCTGCGGTCGAGTGAACATCATGGGTACGATCGTCCAAGACGCGGAACCATACCTGTTCCCCTTCATCATCGAGTACAGTCTAATCGGCGCTGCAGTGATTTACGTAATGTGGAAGCACATCGGATACATCGGACGACATCCTCGTTGGCCTCACCAAGTAGAGGCCGATCTAGAGCGTCGCCTCGAGGCAATGCTGTCTCGAAGAGCTGTTGCCTTGGCTCACGCAGGTAAAACGTCTCTTTTTTCCAACTACTGTACTCCAAAATGGCCGAGGTCTCTCTTAACCCTTTCGTTACTATCGGCGCGTATGGAGTTTTGAAAATTTGCTGGAACTATAGTGTTGGAGACTTTTGTCTTAATTCGATTGGCGATTGGAGCCGCGTTTGACACGGGTACGCGGTGATTTCGCGTCTTTTCTTTCAATCGCGTCATTGGAGAAAAGTGCTGTGTAACATTTTTCAAAGAAATTCTAGTTTAATTTGCGAAACGGCTGTTGTAGCATTTCTGAAGAGAAATTTAACCGTTTAGAGCGTTTTGTAAATTTATCTTCAGACAGATATGCGAAAATCTCGAAAACGACGCATATGCGTCAATTTTACCCTTTACGCACTTCGACCTTAACCCTTTGACAGTCTAATAAAATCATGAATTACAGTCGAAAAAATTTATATTTCACGGGTGCGATCGTTATTAAAACAAGGGATACATAATCCTACGTCATAGTTACGACAATAACTTTCTTCTAAAGAGTCTCTCTTGAGCTAAACAGTTAAATATGTCACGCTTTGCCCAAGTCTCACTCGGGATAAACTGTCGAAGGGTCGATTTAATAATACCCCGAAAATAACAGATTTTGCAGTTATAGTTAAAAATTCACAATAAGTCACCCACGTTACACATGAAAATCTTAGCGAAAGGGTTAAGACATCCGACAAAGGTCCTCCACCGAAAACCCTCTCTGTACAAAGTAAAAACAGAACAGAGCTCGAAACCTAAAACGCTCGAGGCGTGAAACTAAAAAGCATCTCTCTCAACGTGAAACTAGGTCACACAAGGGTGGACTGTGTAGGAGCGAGCAAAGGGCTGTTCTTCGGACTACTACTACTCGTCGGCTCTCTCATCTGTCTGATCCTGTTCTTCGTGCTGATCCATCATCCGGACTTCGGTCTGGTCGCCATTTACCTAGCGGACGTCTCTCACTGCGTCCTCATGGTCCTCTCGATCGTCGCGATAATCGTCGGTTTCATACGCGTGCAGGGCTTGAAATTCAAGGCCGAGGAACAGAGCGATCTGAACGACATCCTGCTCCGCGTGTCCGGCTTCGGGCTGTTCGTTTACGCTGTGTTCAGCGTGATCGCCGGCTCGTTGGCTGCTTTCACACACGAGCCTAACCTTCTGGTAATGCTCACCGGGCTTCTGTCCGTCGCTCAGGTCATCCTCCAGATGTTGTTCATCGCGGACGTGTCGCGCAGAAGGGTCCACTTGCCGGAGCACGATCGTAGCAAGCCCGGCAGACAGGTCGTCACCTTCCTGTTGATCTGCAACCTGACCATGTGGGTGATCTACACGTTCGAATCGCAGAAAGTGATGGCGAACCCCGTGCAGCTGGATTTCTACGGGTTCCTCGCTTGGGCCATCGTGCAGAGGGTCACTCTCCCTCTGTGCATCTTCCACAGGTTCCACAGCGCGGTCACGTTCGCGGAGATATGGAAGACAAGCTACAAGGCGCGTCTCGATTAGACAGAGATGGAAGAATCAGGCTGTTCGTCGGGATCAATGGCCCGGAGTGATCGTCGTTCGCTGGATTGAGAGAGAGAGAGAGGAATAGAGATTTAGTGATATCGACGGGGAAACGGGGAAAATAATTCGAAGGATTCGAAGCATTCCTGGCTGCACGATCGATTCTGTCGCTCGACTCGATTTCGAGTCTTTCTACTCGGAGTACTGTGGATAATAACAGGTAAGAGGGGTTAGAAGAGGTTTCGACGAGTCGATTGAACTCGCTCTGGTCGGTATTGGACATATCTTTGGGGCCGTTTCGTGGATCGCTGGAGGAAATCTCGATCGAGCGTGGAACTGGAGCAATAAACGAAGACGTTGCTTTCTCACGGTCCTCGTGGCGGAATGAAGAGGAAAAGGCGGGAGAAATCAGAGCTCGATTATCGAGAGCGAGGAAAATATTGGAAGAGGGAGAGGTATTCGCGACGAAACCGCCAAGTTCGGTGGTACGAAGAGGATCGCGAAGCGTCGTTTTATTATTTTATCGGCGTATTGCAAGTATGTTTTGTCTGAATCTCGGTTTGAGTAATTAGCTTCGAGCAGCTTGGACGTTGCTTCCTTGATCGGTGGAAGAGAGAGAGAGAGCACGGAGATCTGGAGGAGGCAGGTTGATCGACGACCGCCGAGAAATTTCAGATAGGGACGACGATGTCGAAGCGAAAAACGAAAGAATCGTTCGCCACGATGATGCACAAAATCGTAGAAAGATGAGAGAGGGGGGAAAAAAAGGAACAAAGAGCAAAGCGAACACGGTGTTCGCGTGCAATTTGCATTTCACGAGATAGGGCCCATTTCCTTTCACCGCGTTTCTCACAACCCTTTCAAGATCTCTAACAATACTGCCGTCAAATTTTCTACTTTTATATATTATACATGCACCTTCGCCCTCGTCGTGCATCGAGACACAATTTCGGATATCGTTTCACTCTTCTTCCACCTCGGAACAGAATTAATTAAACCTAAGAGACGCACGATTTTCTCAACCAAGTTGCTCTACCCAAGTCCATAGAATTTCTCCGTCAGTCGAACGATTCGTCGATGATCGAAGAATTTCCAAGGGAGCGAAGAGTGAACGATCTTCTCAAAGGAGTCACCCTCGTATTAGCGTACGTTCTTCGTTAGCATTGCCCGCGATAGCTTTTAGGTGGAAATAACAGCCGTGTGATCTCTTTCTCGCGAGAAATGTCAAAGAAACATAAGGGAAAAAACGAATATATATATATATATGGTACAGGGTAATTTGCGTTCGCAGCAGAGCCACGACGCTTTTTGGTCTCGCGAACGAAGGACGAAAGCTGTCCTAGCGACGCGTTCGCCGATAAATCGGAGCGGCAGGAAAGAGGCGAGAGGAACGATCGAAGGACCGGAAAGAGAGGACGCCGCGGAAACAATTACGACGTTCTTTCTCGTTGCGTGCTGCAAAGTACAAAATTGTTTCTAACTTTTAGAATCTTTTATTCGACGTTCACGCTCCGAGGGGCGTTCCGACGATACCGAAGAACGAGAAAGTCAGAGGAAGAGGTAGAAAAGACGAAGGAAGGGCGACGACGATGGCGAACAAGGGAGGAAGGAGAGAAATTAAGGAGAAAGCATGGAGAGCTGTGTATAAAGAGTAGAGAGTATCTGTATTTTCTTTTCAATTTTTTTTTTACCTTTCGATCGAAGTGGACGAAACTCGAGGTTCGCGAAGTTGAAGAAAATCGACGGCGAACCACGGATTGTAGATTTTATCGCGAGGCTGATAGAGAGGGGAACGAGATATCGTGGACGACGTTTTAACGAGAAAAAGTATAAAGATGGACGAGGAGAAGAAAGGGAGAGGATTGCGACGAAATTATAGTCGATACACTTGGTAGTGAAGTATCACACGTACGCATACACACATACATACAACTCACACGTACCATTCACGGAAGATTAATTATTAATTACCATTTGTCGATTAGCGTTTAAAAGGCTGTTTCTCTCGAGGAGAGAATCGAAGGAGGCAGGTTAAGGTGGGACAGAGTTTCGCAGTTTACTTCGCTATGGATATCGTAGATCGAGTTTCAGCGAAACGAGACAAACCAGAGGAGAAGCACACACGCGTGTTTCGCGTAGCGATTAATTAATCATTCCCACCACGGATCCCGTGAAACCCGGAAAACAAGTGTCTCCGAAAAAAAAACCCTCCCCAAAAGGCGAAAGAAAAAGTAACGAAACGGAAGTCTCCCGCGGTTGAAGTACGTACCTAGCTATCCGAGTCTACATATTTTAATTCTTATCATAGACGTATGAATAGGTGAAAGAGTACGAGAGAGAATGACCGAGAGCGAGAGAAAAATTGAAATAGTAAACGGGACAGGAAACTTTCAGAGGGACGAAGTTGTGAAACTAATTATACATAAAGATTATGATTATGCGTAATTGTAATCCGAGACGATATTATTACAAAAGAATTTAAAAAAAGGTAACACG